ACCTGCAATGTATCTGTTCTAGAATCTATTCTTAACATTGACACAATAAATCATCCAAAAGCATCACTCTGATCTGATAACTCTCACTCTAAATAAAGTGAAATTTGTAATTAATTAGCATTTCCTACAAAGAAAAAAAAAATCTGTCCAATAATGGCAAAGTAGAGTCAACTGTCACTTTATCTAGTTGAAATACCTGTAACAAACACTAGGGAAAGAAGGGAAAGGAGGGGGAGAGAAAAGAGAGAGAGGAAGGAAGAGAGAGGGAAAACAAGAAAGAATGAATATGACAGAGTTCTGAGAGAGGTTCAAACCAGCTGAGGTAATTTTCACCCTAAGTCACTTCTGAGCAAGATGGAGAGGTGATTAAGTAACAGTATGTTGGCATTATGGGATAATCATTAAAATCACTTATGAAGACACCTTAGAAACATGAAAAAACAAATGCAACCACCATATTCAAATGAAAACCACTGTAAGAATTAATTTTGTCTTTTTTGTTTGTTTACCAGAATATTGGTAATTATAAAAAAGAATCAAGGGGTGCCTGGCTGGCTTAGTCGCTAGAGCATGAAGCTCTTGATCTCAGGGTCGTAAGTTCGAGTCCCACATTGGGTGTATAGATTATTTAAAAAAATAATAAAATGTTTAAAAGTAAATAAATTTTAAAAGAATCACAATTTATTCATCAAAATTTATTCCTCTACTAAAAATATCAGAAATTCTTCAAGATTTTATAGTTAAAACTGTAGTGAATGGTCTTATTTTATATCACACTCAGTCCCATATTTTCATATTACCATATTTCAGGAATGTGCTAGGCCCTGGTAATACAGAGATCTAAGTAACAAAGACTTATGATCAAGATGGGCCAAACAATGTAAGTGTAGTCAGGGTGGCAGCACTGCTCAAATCCCCAAAGTACTTTCCCTTTTGAATGGTCATACACTCTCTATTAATGCTCTTCAACACCCTGAAATTTTTATTCTCCTAAAGTAACTAATGTGAGTATCAGTGACCTTCCGGCAACCCTCCTCAATCACAAGTTAACTTTCAAATGTCAGAGCCATCTTGGATTCCCTCCTGTACACATCCTATATTCTATCAATTACTAGATTCTCTGTGCTTTTTCACCAATTTTCCTCAATTCACATTTCTTCTTCTAGGTTTCCACAAAAATTGAGGCCTTTATTGCACAACTGAATTATTTAATGAGAACACATATTAACAGAGTTAAGATCTCGTCCCCTATCTCTTCAGCTCACCTCAATATTCACTTGCAGTCTGGTAAGGACATTATCCGAGCACACACTCACAACTTCCCACCTCCACCACTCCTCTGCTTCTAAATTCTCCAGCACCTCAGGAGCTTGCCTAATCTTAGCCAAGGCAACTAACTGTGTGCAAGGCATTTCAAAGACAATCTCAATCAGTGAGGTCCAGTAGGAGAAAAACTCTTCAACTCCCCTTCATTTGGCAGGACAATTCTGAGGCAGTTCTACAAAAATCTCCATAGGATTAACCTCCCCAGTTGCCCATTAGTTGGCTTTTTTTCCCTTCCCTCTTTTTT